TGACCAGACGAAACAGCCCGTATGCGCGTGCCACACACCTGCTTCTTATTCGATCGAGTTTGTGTGTTAGGACGGCACAGCACATGAGTCAACACTCTAGCCGTCCTCGGGTCAGGATGACAAAGAGACAACAACACGCGATAGTGCCATTGCACAAAGGGCCAGCTTACGCGCGACCTCAAGTGCCGACACCATACGAGGGCACAAAGGGTTACGCGCACACGAAACAGCGCCGCCGGGTTGTGTCGTCCTGAGGTCACCAACATCACACGATGGCTGCCCGGATAAGCGGCTCGCGCAGAGAACAATAAGAAGAGACAGGGGACAAAGATTGCTTGTCCTTAAATACGCTGCCGCTGTCAGGAGGCGAGATTCTGCTGCCCACGGAAGAGAACGTCCTGAGGACAAGCTGCAGACGAGATGACTGCTGCCCATAAAAACTCCGAGAAGTTAAGGCACACGCGCAGAAGCTGATTTACACACAGAGGCTGTTGCATTAAACCGTTCCCTACTATCTAGTCTGTCTTCTCTTCCAAACATACAGCTGGGGGATATAAGAAGTGGCGACGCAGGTGAGTGCACAAGATCATAACAGTTTGCGCCATCAATCTGGTTTAACTTAAGATATCAGAAGTTAGCGTTTCGAAGCGTCCTACACAGCCAACATTATCAACCCTCGTCCGCTGCTATAATGTGCGTGTCTGATGTTGCGATTCTTCTTTCGTGACAGTCTCCACTTCTACGCCGCCTGTGTTTACGCTTCGTAGCGAATTCTTCACCAATCAGTGAAGAGTCTCTCTCCTCCCCTGCAAAAGTACCCTGCTGCAAGGCGTACTCTCTTAACTTTACTGCTATCTATTTTCATCACTTTTATATTCCGTTCTAATAGGTATCTGTCTCCCTCGAAATTTTAGACATGTTCCGTCTTATGAAACACACTTCCTGTTTTTCTTGGCCATTTATCTTGTGTATTATATCTGATTCTGTCTGTTTGTGGTTGAGTATGTTTGGCGTCCATCAGGAGGGTACACTAAACACGTTTCTGTTTACGCAAAGGTGACGGACCAATTACCCAATTCCGCACTCATATCTACTTCCCAACGACACCTATATTTGACCACTGTAATTCTGATCTCAAATGGCATCGTATTCATTCATGGAGTTTGTGAATGACCACAAAAGCCAACTGCTACACGCTGGCGTACCAGAACTTTACTGGGGAGCACTGCACGCAAAGCTGGCGACAAAGGTTTGACGGATTCTGACTGATTCTGATGGCGTCCTAGTTATTCGATGCTGGCGATTTCTTTGCGCTGGCGCAGATCAACTACACTGACCCGGAGACCGGTGAAGTTGTAGACAGGGACTGGGATCTGACTGTGTCGGCGGCTGCTGGCGTGAGCTGCGCTGACCCCACCAAGTAAGTTCGCGCCATCTTGCTGACACAACCTTTTTAGCATTTATCTGGTGGACCACGCTTGCACCTTCCAGCTGTCGGAGGTGCGCACAATGCTGCAGGCGAGTCCGGCTCTGGTCGCACGTTTGCTGAATATCCTCAGCGTCACAGATGAGGATTTGAGTCCAGAGGAACGAATTGCCCTTATCCTGCGGCAGATTTGGAAGTAAGCATGTTTTGTGTTTTTTGCAGTATGCGTCAGAGTTCGTGCAACATGCCGACATATGCGAAAGATTGATACTCTTTCGCTAATCGGCACTGACTCAAGTTT